CCCCGACTGGGCCAGTCTAGCCCTGGTCGTACTACTAGCTCGACTGCTCGCGTTAAACCTGCTGTGTCGATTTTTCAGTAAAGAACGACCCGTAATTCAGTTTTTAAAACGTAGTTACAAACGCAGTGTATAAGTATTTTCCCAAGAAAAACACGAGTAGATCATTGAATTCAACACTGGAGCAACGTCATGTTAAGTCAGGTGATAACCACGTGATGATCACGCCATCAATCGCTCTCTCGTGGACCGCGCTGTCGTAGACCCTTTCTCTCGTGGCCTGTCTGCGTAATGTACCTGCCGTTTCTATCGTGAGTTCTGATTGGGTGATGCAAATGAGTCCAAGTGAATCTTATACTCGTTTGAGGGCGTGTGACATACCGTGAATCGTGGTGAAAAAATATGGATACAACAAAATATCAAATCCCAGAGCCTCCAATAGCAGTTTTATAAAATTTTATAATTGTTGTTTTTTCCTGAAGTGTGCCAGGGCGTAAAGGCTAAGGTTCTGATTAAATAAACCTTACTGCACTTGTGTAATGAATCTGATTCATGAGATATCATTTGTTAACATTGCAATGTGATGTATTATACGGATCTATAACGTGTTTGTCTTTGTAGTAACCGTACAACTTATACACACTTATTTGACTTATTATATTATTGATATATTTTAAAAATTACACCTTTTAAAACACACAGTTGCTCAGCAAAATAAACGATACTACCCAGAATTGTTTTCGCTAATCCTTTCTCTATTGTATAATTGTCATCACCTCACACTATAATTAAACTCTCCTTTACTGTTTTTTTTTTACAAAAGAATATTTTTATAATGTCAGCAACACTTAGTTGAAAGGCCTCGCAATTTTAGTAACTTTACGATGAAATTTACGATGTTCGCAAGTTGTGCTGATCGAAAACTAAGCAGACCCTAAAGGTCTTCACAGCAACAAATCTCATCATGCATTTCTGTTTGAATTCCGCTTCCGTTCGTGTTAAACCCTACTTACGGGGGTACATAAAGTTAGCACGGTCCCAGTGGTTACATGAATAAAATAGTCTACCTATAAAATTGGTGTAAACGAATAATTATACAGGAAATGACTCGAGCGTCTGGTGCAGAGACGGATGCAGGATACTCGGTTAGGGGTGCGCGTCTTTACAATAACGTCATTGTCTTATTGCATGTATATGTCTAACCACGGGCTTAGAGGGGCGGCACTCCTGCGACAGCTACATCCGCCACTGTGATGCGCATTACAGACCAATTGAAAATGCTTCCCATCTGTATTAAAGTCTATCTTCCATCGTCTGACAGAGAATGTCTCGTGAGGATCAGTAACACTTGCAGAGAGACTTCTTTCGTTTCAGAGAGTTTCAAAAGAGTTTCGTTTTAAAAAAATGACTCACTTAAGACTATTATTTTGAAATCATATTTAATAAAACATTGTGAAATGTTAGCAAGCCGCTTTTTACATGTGACCTACGTCACGTGATGGGAGATACATATTTGTTATAATGTTGGTGTGAAATCTCCACTGCATTTGATTGTGGAAACACATAGTGTCACTTTTTGTCGTAGTTGATGCTTGCCTTCGTAGATATTGCATGTCAAACTCATATTATTTAAGTTAACAAATGGTAATTAAGTCACACCTGTCGTTTTCTTCTATCGTAATCGTCTTTACAACTCGTTATCCAAGTATTAATCTCACTTAGCCTTTTTTGTAGTATTTTACCAAACTTGACGTCATCAACAAAGCACCCTGGGACAGGCTCCGTGATATTTGCCAAAGGTTCTTCGGCGTTTACTCTATCTAGCAAAAGTTTGACGGGATTTTCGTGGGTGTTCATCTCCGCTATTTTGTCAGCGACCGATTTCCTAAATATACAGCTGGAGTGCAACATGAGGTCGTGGTGCTCACGTATTCTTGGGTCCGATGGAAAGGGGGCGTAAGACCACACGAATGTTTGCGCATGATTTGAGAAGTACAACTTTTCAATTCCGTAGCCTATTCTATAGACATTGTTGGTTGGTTGTTGCGATGACGGACCGTGTATTATTAGCCATGGAAAGGATCTAGAATATAATAAAATGTGAAATGGATCTATTTTGAGTATATACGTTGAAGACTGAATATTGTTATTGGAAGCAGTGGCTGAAACTCTATGTGTGGTTACTACTATGGTATAGAGCTATGGATAGTATATGTTACTTGTCGATCAGTTTATGATAGGCAGCTGAATGCCTATTCTTATTTACCTTTTTTTAGATTTAAAGTAATTTTATTTCATTTCAAAATTACAAATATGCGGACAAGAAAGAAAGAAACTAGAAAAAAGCCAATAAGTGTGTAGTAAACAAATAAACTGGCCTATTTGTACTGAAATATAAACAATCATATACACTATAGGCTTTGCTGTACAAAAGAAAAAGAAATTTGATATTTTCTTTTATCATAAAATTTGCATGAAACAGTTGACATAATAATAGATAACACTTTCTGTACATTAATCCCTCAAAGGCCTGAATATATATATGTATATATATATATATAATATAAGAAGGTAGTCGATTATTCCAGGTGAGAGTGCTCGATACTAAACGATGAGTTTGTAGAGCAGATTTACAGTACTGTTCCCTTACGAAACAGTACTGTAGAGTCAACTTTACTCATGTAGTCGTGTCTTAATTTCTCTGTCTACGTATGTATAATATATATATATATATATATATATATATATATATATA